TGTCCAGTATTGACCGACTCGTTCCTCCTTCTGGACGTTCAGTGTGCCTTTGATTTGCTCGAGGAAAATCTTGTTGACATTCGTATGTTTTTGTAGTCCATATTAACCAATAATGTCTTAGATATTCTCTTTGCATTCCTTTACAAAAATCTATTAATAAATCGAAAGTACAAGAAGATTGACTGGAATAAGTCATCGAGTTAGATTGCTAAAGATAGTTCATTATCATCATCATTCATTAATCCTTTTCAATAAATAAATCTCTGAGTTTTTTTTAAAGTTTTTATTAGTCTGATGTTCGTTATGAGTCAAATTAAATTTCATCTGTGAAATAAACAAAATTAGAAAATCATTTGGCAATTTTTCCTCAGAAAGGAATGAAAAACTTATCGGATAAATATGCTATGCATTTCAAAACTCATTTTTTTTATTGGAATTTCAAATTCAAAGATCAGACGATCGTTGTTGTCATTGAATAGTACGACTTATGAGAATCATATAAAAGGAAAAGAGACATCTGATTAATGTTTTACCTCTTATGTGACTTGTTTATCTATGTGTCGATTCAACTAATGCGTATACAACGCTGTTGACATGGTCGAATCATTAGAAATAATAAAAAATAAAAAAAAGAATATAAAACATCTTTCCCATCAAAACAATGATAAATTAATTTATTTTGCATGTTTTCAGAAAATGTCTTCACAGTTGAAACAAATAACTTCAGAGTAAAATGAACAAATCTTAGTACTTGGTTCAAACAATCAAAATACTGATTTAAAATCATTTCCACATCCATTTCGTAGTGGTAATTATGGTGAAGGAAGTGAACCGAAAACATTAATTGAATTACAAATGATGGATGTGAGTAGAACTATTCGAAATAAATCAAAATGGTATGAAAAAAATGAAAGATCAAACAATACGAAATAAATGGAAACAAGAAGCCTTAGAACAATCATTACTTTCGGAAAAACAAATCGATTATGTTCTTGCTGAATTACAATAGTATGATTCAATACGAGATCAATCAATGGAAATGTCTGTTGTTGATGGTGTTTGGCAAAGTGATGAATTAATATCTCAAGATATTAAGCAATCATTAATTTCATATGTAATTATTTTAGAAAATGTACCAGAAAATGAACAAGATTGGCATCCAGGAACAAATAAACAAATATTAGATTTAGTTCATCCATCTTTATTTTGTTTTGTTAATCAAATAACAAGAGTTATCAATGATAAAAATCATTTTATTAATGTTGATAATGCTCTTGAACATATTGGTCTTGGACAAACAATTGATATAAATGTAAATTTTTTTATCATTAAATTCAAATAATAAACGACAAAAATTATCTGAAGATTATACTCGATCAAATGTTTATCAATGGATTCCAACTGAATTCAATATTTCTCAAGATGGTAAAGTTAAAATTGAATCATATATCAATAATTTACATCCAATTCAACATAAAAACTTATATCAAATCATTGAAAATATTTTTCAATGTTTTATACCTTTATTTAATACAGTTTTGACTGATTTAATTTATAATCAAAATATACCAAATCAAATTATTGTTGATCCTTATCAACGGTATGCTGATGAATCCTCATCTGATAATCAGGATGATGATGATGATAATAATCATCATCGTCGAACAATTATACAACCTGATGTTGAAGAATTTCAAATACCATTATCAACAAATTCAAATATTAATTTATGTGGAAGAAAATTACAAATTATTGTTAAATTAGCAAATATAATTTTAACACCTTCAAATCCAAAATATCCTGGTGGTATTTGGCATGATGAAGGAATGGATAATGAACATATTATTGCTACAGGCATTTTTTTATTATTTTAATTCGAATATAACACAATCGAATTTACAATTTCGAACTGTTATAAGTGAACCAAATTATGAACAAGATGATCATTATGGTGTCAATAGTGTTTATGGTTTACAAGATGAACAACCTTTAAATCAATCATTAGGTAAAATAATTACTCAAGAAAATCGTTGTATTGTTTTTCCAAATATTTATCAACATTGTGTTGCACCTTTTCAATTGAAAGATTCAACTCAGCCAGGTCAAAGAAAAATTTTAGTCTTTTTCTTAGTTGACCCAACGATTCGAATTTTATCAACTGCTCATATTCCACCACAACAATCTCATTGGTATATTGATTTGATGCGTTCTACTTCTCCATTTAATCGATTACCATCATTAGTCATCAATAAAATTATGAGTTATATTGATTTTCCTATGACAATGAATCAAGCAAAACAACATCGTGATAAATTAATGGATGAAAGAAAATATTTTATTTCACAAAATAATCATTTACTCTTTGAAAGACCTTTTTCATTATGTGAACATTGATATTTATTCGGAAAATGTTTTGATAAAGGTTCTATCTTCAATAGAATCTTCCTATTTTATCAATCTAAACAAATATTTACGTTCAATGAAAAGAAAGAACATGATTCTATTAATGTTCTCACTGACTCTATTGATGAATTTCAAATTTGTTTGAGTGTCATTAGTAATGAAACAAGAAATAAATATCTAGTTTTGTTACAGATTAATTGAGATTTTGATGTATGGCAACAATATCTGGATAAATGTATAAGGTTATATGATTAAATACTTATTTATTTTTCTACAACTATAGTTTCATGTCTTTGTCCTGTGTTGTAATTTAGTTTTATTGGACTATATATATAGATAAAAAAATAAATAAATCAACATTCAAGAAAAACCCTTTTTTTCTTTTTGCTTATTTACTATTGAAGGGAATGCATATATTTGTTGATCGACAACGGTATCCAATATAATTCAAACAGAGACGCAAAGCCAATTAATAAAACATTTTCGTCAGAGAAAGTCGATTTTTTGTAAAGTTTCATTCTATAATAGGAAGATACAAAAAATAGCAGTTAGACCAATACGTTTTCTTCGAAAATTCAGCACTATTAATAAAATAATTTGATCAGCAAAATGAGTATTTATCGTCTTATTCTTCCAAAAAACTGAGTATCTGATATTTTTACTATAATAGTTAGTTGAAGATGGAACCGTTCTATAAGAAGAATGAAAATAGGTTTCTTTTCTACTTTTTAGGATACAACAGAAAAATATATTTCAAAGGCGACGCTCCGAAAAATCACTGCAGACATCCAGAGAAAGATTCCTTTTTTTTGATTTAGTTTTCAAAGTGGAGATCCAGCCAAACCCAAAACATAGAATTATTTGATCGCTAGTTGTTGCAAGCACGTAGTTTCCATCGGAGACTTATATATGTATTTGCTGAATATAAAACCCTTTTCTTATATTATAATATAAATATCTTTTCCTTTGAAGTTACATCGATTTATCGCCATCATCTATGATGTTTTTCATTTTATGGACTTTTTCGTTTATTATGACTAGACATAGCGGTCATTTACGAGATAAGTGTTGGAGTTAGATCTAATAAGAACAATACGTCAGTGTAGTAATGAACAATGAAAAAGAACCTGTTTGTATATTTTCTTAAACTGACAATTTTGATATTTCAAATTCATGTATCAATAATCTGTAAATTTCAAGCGTACAGCATTTTTGTCAACTATAAATATTGAAATAAATTAAGCGAATGAGGCATCTTTGAACTTTTTAATTATCAAACAGCAGATATTTTAAAAATATAAGACCTTAGTCAGATTTATGTTATGCAATATTCTCATTAGCAATCTAATGAAACAATACAGATAATTGATACGAACATATTCTGCTGCAATATAACAAAAAAACCTTCACGATTATTCAATTTATGTATAATTATTTAATATGAAAAATAGTTTTGAAGAAACAAATTTTGTAGGAGATATTATGATCACATTATATAATAGTACAATTTCTAATTGATATTTTTATTTGAAACATATTCTTATATGTTCAATATATATGTAAAGTTGCCTCTTTGTTTGTAATAAATGTTTAGATTAACAATTTTATTTAAGGCCCC